CTCAAACTGAAAAAATTTGACCAAGATAAATTTTTGAATTTCTCCGTAAATTTCGCACCAAATGTTACAATATTTAATATCTAGGCATAATTTGAGTCGTAGAATCGAAATATGGGAAAAAATTGGTACGTTATTTCAAGAAAAAGGTCCGATTTTGCGTCAAAATAGCTATGTTAGAACAATGCTATATATAAATCTAATATATATCCTCCTAAGTCGCGCTTTCGAGACATGAAAAAATGCAATTTGATTTTTGTCAATCGGCTCAGTAGAACGGGAGATATAGAACTGACCCCCCTCTCTCTCTCTCTCTTTTTTTTTTTTTTTTTTTTTTTTCGAATTTCCTTAAAATAGGAGGAATCTGTTAAAATATGGCGAACTGATAAAATAAGTAAGTGATAAGTGACGGAGGACGTGGGCACTGTCCCTTTACCGAACTGATAAAATAGCATTACACATTGAATAACTGAAGTTATAAGGCATTTTCTCCCTCTTTCTTGCATGCCTTCGTGATGTAACGGTAACATATTCGGGGCATATTCGAGAGGTCCAGATACGAGTCCCGGCGAGGGCATTGCTCATTTTTCACGTTTCCTGATTCAAAATAACCTAATGACTCTACACTGATCCCCGAACAAAAAAAGGGGGTAGTGGACGATAATTCGTCAGTACCAGGATTTGGCAATTGAGTCCCCTAATCCCCATCTCTCTTTAAAAGGAGGAGTATATAATGTATTTTCTCCCTCCATTCAGCATGCCTTCGCTGTGTAACGACAGCACACTTGGCGCGTATTCGAGAGATCCAGGTTCGAGTCCCGGGAAGGGCATTTCTCATTTTTCACGTCTCCTGCTTCAAGAAAGAAAGAAAGAAACCAATAACTCTATATTCGATAGAGGATACATATGAGGGAAAACACGAAAAACAACCATGCAGCCAGGCCGTTTGCCTGGATTCAAACCCTCGCCGGAAACGTTTTGCCAAAAAATAATGCAGTATAGATAGTGCTTACTTAATAACTGGTTTAAAACTGACGATAGGAAAAGTTTTTTCCACCATTAGCCTCCCCACGAAAATTAATAAAATAAGCAAATAAATAACAAACAAACAATAAATAAATAAATAAAATAGCGCATCTTTCCAGAAGAATCCAGAACAGTTTCGAAGCTTGCCACAACGATCAGGAAAGTAAAAGCATTAATGCTAGTATTACTGGCGACGCATTGTTCAGGGTCGGCTAATACACAAGTACTTATATTTTTTACTTCATGAATACTGCATTTTCGATTTGAAATTTTCAAAGATCTTAAAACTCTCATTATATGAATTCCCAAAATTCTGAACTTTGATTTCACACGATTTACTGAAATAAAACTTAATTAAAATTTAACTATTCATGAATAGTTAAACTCTAATTTACATTTAATCCAAGCAATGGAATTTTTCATTAGATAGCGAGAGGAATTTTTTGGCCCCCTTTTCAATTTAATATTCCGTAACACAAAGTGATAACAACGATTGCAAACATCAAAGTCAAATAATAAATTTATTTCTACTTGGAAGCAAAAAAGAGGGAAAGAAAGAAATATCGGTAAGGCTTCGCATTTTAAAATCACACCAGAAGGTTTGTTATGTTTATTCATGCTCTTGTTGAGCTCGCCTCGCAGTTTATCTGTCTGCTTTCGTACTCACCCGGCTCACTCCTCCTTTTGGACTCGTTTTGCCCATGTGTAGCGTGTATACGAGCCAGCTTTCCTTAGAAAGTTCTCCACGAAGGCATCCCTTCCCTTAGGCAGATAGCCCTAGTGTGCTTTGCCATATTCTCAATACACCACACCACTACCACCAGCACACCTTTTGGACTCACTCTCGCAAATCTGCAATAATTGCAATAATACAACTGCATTCGATCCACTAATAATATTATAACTATAATAATAATATAAACTATAAAAACAGAAGCATTCAATATACTCTTTCCTTCACAAGACTCCACAGAAAGAAATATAAAGTCTCTCCCTCGTCAGTCCTGCAAAAGTTATTTTTCTAGCTTTTTTTTTTTGCTTAGTCTGAAACTCTCAACTTGATGATTAACAAAAGTATTCTTTCTCTTACATTTATATTTTTGCTTTAGCTGAAATATTCTTTCTTTCGAACTTGAGAAACATTATCTTCTCCTCTGTATTGCAAACTCTGGAAAGAACAGAAAAATCGCTGAGACCCTTAGCAGAATTTTATTGTGATTATTTATAAAGCAGGAAACTTACAACATTAAAAACAAACTTAAAAAAATCTGAACGGATTAAGATGTTAACTTTGTACCAGAGAGTTTGTTAAGGATTTTAATGCTCTCATTAAACTTGCAGTTTAACTATTTATTTTTGGACTCTTCTCTGGTGACATAACTTCTTTTGTCTTTATTCTTAAGCATTAGTTTCTTTGTACTTAACGCCGCATAAAATTCAAGAGCGAAATTCCTAATTTTTTAAAAACAGCATATCTTTAGAATTCTCCATACGACATTAAATGTTGCCATATATTTATTTTATCCCAGGAGATTTATTATTCTCGAAGCTCAATTTTGTTGTTCTTTTCACTTTCCAAACAGCTAGCCGCTAGTGCTTCTAACAAATAAAATAGTTATTATGAAAGAGAACAAAAATTATAATGCTTTTAATAAATTCAGCTAGATATTAATTTCATAGGTCTAGTTGGTAATTAATAAAAGAAATAAAGAACTGCGTTTATTGCTTGTTCAATTAGTTTGTTACTCAAGAACGGGGGTAAAATTTAAAACAAAAATTAAATATCTTACGCTTGGCCAAATTGGCGAGTGGAAATTGAAATAATACTTTATATCCGATGTCTTTAGAATTCCCGATAAATGTTGCTATACAGTCTTTTATATTCGTTGTAATATCTCTTTAAAAGTAATACTCAGAGAAATTACTTGGTGTTAACATCCTTTTATTTGTGCTGCCATATATTTTTTATATCCCTATATTATTTCTTCAAAAATAATACATGGGAGTATCATTTGGGGTCAACGCTTGAAAGCTGATCCGAACAAAAAAATAAGGTTTGAGATTAATAGTACTTTTGGCGTTATTTAAAAAAACATTCTGAAAGGGTTCAGATTTTATCCATCGCCCAAAAGGTTTGGTTAAGGTTTTCTACGCTCTCGCTGCGCTCATAGTCTACCGTGCTGGCTGTACTCACTCCTGTTAAAATATTTATGCCTTTTTAGCTTTATTGTTAAACATCATTTTACTCCATGCACAATTCACCAGCAAAATCATAAAAAATTTAAAAGATGCATATGTTCAGATCTGATGCAGGTGACAGGTGACAGCAGGGCCGGACACCCGGACGGCTTTCAAATACTAATGGGGAATAGTCCGGGACCCGCTTCATCTAGAGCACAACATGTTTACAACATAAAAGATCTTCGGATGCAGTGTTAAGTGCTGGTATACATTCTTCTATTTTGCCTAGTCTTTCCCTAGTTCATCATATCAATGTTCAGTTTTCTTAGTAAGATGGCTTGCAAAACGTTTTTTCTCTTTTTTTTATTAGCGTTTTGTATGTTAACTTTACTTATTAAATATCACGCTCTCGCCGCTTAACATAAAATTCAATTCAACAGCAAAATCACAAAATATTTAAAAACAGCGTATCTTTAGAATTTCCGATAGAGAGTCTCGCGCCCTAGAAATAAAAATGTTTTATTCCGTACATTCTTGCCACTACTCGCTTTCAAATCGCTGAGTTTGTTGATCAAAAATTCATTAAAAAATTTTACAAAATATGGAATAAACAATTAAAATGTGTAACGTTATTCTACGAAAATATTGAATATTTTTAATTAGATAGATCACGAATTAAATGCATTTTTATTACTTTAATTAATGGGATTCAAAAGTAAGAAGAGAATATTCGTAAGAATTGCATCTGTTGCTTTCATATAGCTTAGTTTGTTAGTCTACAATAAGCAAATTCAATAGAAGGATAAATATTTTCCCAAATGGCAAAATAATTCGAATGGAAGTGAAAAGGTGTATTTATAGCGGTTCGACGCAAATATCGCGTTTCGAGACAAATAGCCCTTTTGTGGTAAAAATGCTAACAGAAACCTAACATTCCTGGCAGAAGTTCTCATAAAACTCATTTAATTTGCATTTCTGATGGAGTTGAGAAAAAGTAGAAGTGCAGGGAATATTAAATATAAGAAAATAATTTGCTAATTAAAATAATTCTTACAACTTAAAAATACATAATTTCTGATAGTTGGAGAACTTTCATTTCAGTCGAAATGGATTGATTTGGTTTATTCAATTACGGCAAAACACTCGAGGTGTATCTGCCTAAGGGGAGGGATGCCTCCGTGGAGGACTTTCTAAGAGAAATTGGCTCATATACATGTTACACATGGGGAAAAACAATGAAAACGCCCACGCAGCCAACCGTTCGCCGGGATTCAAATCCAAAACGAACTATCAGTGTTAAGCAATTTTACCGCTCGGCCGCTGGTGGGCACACGAGCGGAAATGAGTGAATAGCTTACTGTTTTCCTTCTAGGAGTATCAAGTTGGAGCATAAAAGTTTCTCGAGAAAATAGCTTGGCGCATGCTGCCCTATAACAAAAAATATTCCAGTTCTTTTATTTACAAACAAGCAATAACTGTAAAATGCTAGAAAGAATTCGAGGAAATTTAAGTACATTTCACTATTTATATTTTGTAGATAACCCTTTCATAAGTAATCACAGTTATTCTTAATTAAAATTTTTAGCAAAAGAAAAAATCTTAAAAGTTATGTTACAAACAGATAAGTGCATTACAATCCATTAAAAAAAATACTGTGGCTAAATAAAATTAAGGATTTAATTAATTAATTTAATTTAATTAATTAATAAGGGGGATGTGAAGAAAACATTATGTATTATAGAATTTCCTTCAGCACTGAGAAAATTTATTACCACAAAAAAAAATTCTAAATTGAATATCTGCTTTATTACTTTGAGTTAACTTACCAAAGCAAAAACAAGGGCGTGCGGTAAACAAAAATTTTAAAACTGACATGCACGAATAATAATTTTCCTACAAATATCGTCACGTTCGTAATTTTATTTTATTTTCAGTACTAAGTCTTGCAAAAGTTTTGCCATAAAATTACGTTTCGTGATTTTAATCCAGTCATGGGTTGAGAAAACATCCGTTGCATGATCAGAAATAAAAGCCAGTGCACTGTTGAACAAATCAGTATCGGAGTGCAAATCGGCTAACTGGAGAATATTGCACACATTCCCAAAAGTAAAATTCGATTTAAAAAAGTTCGAGCACTTCTTCCTCAGGCTAGAAACGTCGTACCTATCGGCTAGTGCATAAAGCTCCCCAACAGAATCTTCCATGTCTTCTAAATAACCAGAATACATAAATGAGAGCATTTGTTCCATTACATTGGGGTCCACGTCTGAAATTTCAATCGTATCGTTCTTCGCCTCCGTCATTTTCGTCTGGAGCATTCTAGAAAACACGGAAGATCGGGCACACAGAACGCACTTATGTACGAAGAATACTTCGGAACCGACTGTTATTCTAGCATCGGAAAATTGCTCTGTTTCATAAAGATTTCTAAGATCACTGTTGAAATCATGGCAGTTAATAGATGTCGTAAAAGAACAAAACGATTCCGTTATTTCGCTGAAGTATTTGCAATCAGAAAATATAAACTCGCACTTAAGTAGCAATACATCTTGAGAATTTATGGAAATGTTTCCAGAAAATTCTGTACATTTCCAACTTTCATTGTTTAGAAAAAAGTGTTTATTTTTGGAAGAATTTCGCTCATCGAAAGATATTTTACTTTTCACGAAAACCGGCTTCGGTTCTGTATTACGTACTCTACAAATGGAGATATGGAATGACGTATTAGCAGTCGCATATTCCCGAAGGTGAAAGATTAAATACCATCTACAAGGATTTGGAAGAGAAACAGAAAATACATGACTGTACAACACAGTATCTTTAGTTAGTGTGCTGAAATTCCGTATTGGCCAATGAAATGATACTTTCTTAATGTTAAATTGTGTTCGCACTTTCAGTGCTACTATTGGTGTGGACTGCAAGTTAAGAAGTTCATATTTCGTTGCAGCTGCGTACAAGTCCGCTAGTATCTCAGTTTTACTGCAGTCCAGCTTCCCGGTGTAAACGTATTCGATCATGACCTCCAGAACGTCAGATTTCACATCCAAAGCTAGTTCGCTAGACTTTTCATCGTCCAGTTTTTCTAGCAATTTGGGCCACCTGGCTGATAAAATAGCTTTGTGTAGTTTGTAAATAGTATCACCAGCACGCAAAATGATATCAGTGAAGAGTCCATTTTCATAAGGAATAGGAGTGAACATTTCTTGTTCGTTAGTCTCAAACACAGGTTCCATGACACATTTTATGATCAGAATGTCATTTATCAGAGACTGGCACAACGGTTCCCTTTCTGAGGCTTCGTAATACCCTCTACTCATGTTCGTTTCGAATACAGCTGCATCCTTTTCAAGACAAGAAAATATTACCTTCTCGTTGGAATCTAACCCCTGAATGCTATACTTTATATTGCACACTCCTATGGAGTCATCATCTCTTCTCAAGTAAACCGCTAGGTAATTTTCATTTAGATATCCGTTCGGGTATAGTTCTATACACCATTTTATGCTGGGTATAGAATGAATGACAAAACTTGGGCTGTCGAAAAACTGTCCTTTTGGTAGATGGCACATGCTGAAATTTTCAATAATCCATGTGAAAGTAAACTTATCATCTGTCTGTTCCTCCATTACATGCAGCGGGTTTGTACTCTTCGCCTCTCTATTGCAGGCAAATTAGCGCGTTAGAAATCTATCACCTATCTGACCTTCCACAAATTTCATTTTACGCGATAAAAGAACATTTACTTTGCACCTGATTTCGAGAGTTCTCTTTAGTCAGACAACTGTTATCGACATAAAATAAAAGGTGGATGGGAAATTATCTCCATTAGTGATAGCATAAGTTATTGTTTGAAATAACTGATAGAAATAGTCAATGCTTTTTATATTCTGTGCAAGTGTTTCCATTCTATTAACCCTTTCCAGAAAGTGATATAAAAGAATCATATTTCACATAGAATTCAATCCCTTGCATGAATTTATATTTATATACAGTCATACCCTGCTATTGCTAACCTGGCATATAACGAACATCCGGACTTAACGAATTTTTTTTTATCATGTTTAGTTTTCTATAAATGTAATTTTACATGGCTACAATGAACTTTCAGATGCATAAATTTCGACTATAATGAATTTTGCGGGTATCTTGAACTGAAAAGATTTCGTATTTTCAAATATTTTTCATGAATTTGCGGAATTTTCAACAGCAAAAGCCTTTAATCGGTTTTCTTTTTGATTCCACGAGTTCTTTGATTGAGTTGTTCAACGCTGACTCATGTTTATTCATAGATGTCAATGCCTAATTTAGATGGAAATGTGTAATTTAGGGAAAGGGTCTAAACCACGACTTTATGTTAAGTAATATTTCGTGTGACCGCTCGAACCGAATGTAAAATGGCACCGCCTTTTGTACATATACAGTAGACTCCCGATTATCCGCGGGCGGATTATCCGCGCCTGCCGCACAAAGTTTTTTTTTTTTTTTAACAAGCGTAAAGCAAAGAAAATAAAAATGTTCACAAAACTGAGCGAAACGTTAACTTTGCTAACATCATGCTTATTTATAGCAAAAATATCCTAGGCCTTCTCGGAACCTTCCCCTCTGATGAGTAAGTGATTTCTTACTCACCCTTGCAGTGCCTGCTCCACCGCCCTCTCTCGTCTTAATCTTACTAACACGCCCACTTCCTCCCACTCGCCATTGTTAGTTTAAGCCTGATAGTGTTTGCGAACCGGTCCGAGTTCATTTCTTATCCTTTATCGTGTTCAGTGCTTGTACTTTTTGGTTTTGTTTTTTCGTTACCGATTTAAAATGTCAGGAAAACGAAAGAAGGTTGTGTTGACGATTGTGCAAAAACTAGAATTAATTTCCAAAGTAGCAAACAGCGCTACAAGGCCGCAGATGGAATTAGATTACGGAATTGCGGAAACAACAGTGCGTGACATTCTAAAGCAAAAAGACAAACTGGTGAACTTTGCATCAATGTCGGACAGTGCTTCCGCAATGAAAACGCGAAAAACTTTGAAGGGTTCTACCTTTGAGATAGACACGGCATTGACAGAGTGGTTAGCTCAAGTTCGAAAAGAGGGTATTCCAGTAAATCATTGCGGCGAAGGCAAAAAAAAAAAAAAAATTTTGAGTTGTTAGGCCTGAAAGGAAATTTTGATGCGTCTTCGGGCTGGTTGACTTGTTTTTTAAGCAGCGACATGGAATTCGAGAAATTGGACTTCATGGGGAGAAACTTGGTGGTGACTAACAAGCAGCCGACGATTTCCACCATGAATTTGAAGAATTTGTTTTAAAAGAAGAGCTATCTTTTGAACAAATTTACAATGTCCACGAATCGGGACTTTCGTGGAAATGTTTTCGCACTTGCTCTTTAGCATTTGAAAGTGAAAGTAAAGTGGCGTGTCATAAAAGCAGCAAGGAAAGGATCACAATCATGTCTTGCAGTAACGCTACCGCTGGACATAAACTTAGACTTTTTGTCATTGGAAAGTAAAAAAACGAGATCTTTCAAAGGCAGAAGGATAGAAAATTTGCTCGTTGATTACTTTAAAGAAAAAAGAAAAAAAAAAAGGATGGATGAACCGAAACATTTTTGAAGAATGGTTCGAAAAAATCTTTGTTCTTCAAGTGCGTAAACATCTTAAATCGAAAAACCTGCCTGAAAAAGTTGTGCTATTGATCGACAACGCACCTTCTCACCCAGCAACAAGCGTGGTAAAGTCTTCTGATGGACAAATTTTTGCAAAGTTTCTCCCCCCAAACGTTACTGCGCTAATCCAACCCATGGAACAAGGAGTCATTGCAACAATGAAGAGAACATACGGAACCAAGCTGCTAATGACCAAAATTGAAGGTTATGATCTGAAAGAGTTTTGGAAACACTACACAATCTTGAACAACATCTACGATATTGCATCTGCATGGGACTCAGTGAAACCGTCAACCCTCATAAAATCATGGAGAAAACTCATGCCTAATGTTGAAGCCAACAACAACCTAACCTCTTTGAGCTGTGAAGAAGAGAATGAAGATGTAGACACGCCCACGGCAACTCTCGCCGATATGGTGAAAACAGTTCCGGGTGGTGAGAACGTCGATGCTGAAAACATTAACGAGTCGTTGGAGAGTGACGTCAACGAACCTGGCTTCGAACGCTTTGACAGATGACGAAAATTGTGAAAGAAAGCAAGGGGAGAGACCGAGAATGAAGGACAGCGAAGTGAAGGCGAAGAAGAGCCCACTGTGCAGATGCGGAAGACTCACGAAGCGGCTTTGCAACAAATCGACGGACTGCTGAGCTATTTGGAAGAAAAAGACGACGCGGAGTTGGCCGAGAAACTTATGCTACGAAAAATGCAATCTCAGATCAAGAGAAAATGCTTCCAAAGCAAGAAGCAAACACAAATGACTGATTTCTTCAAAAAGGTGTAGTTTTACAGTTATGCTTTTGTAATTACATAGTATATTACAGTATTTAAACAGTACATATGTATTAATTTTTCTGTGTATCCTTGATGCCTCTCGTAAATATACAAAGCACTTCTCTGTTTTCATTAACAAAATGCATTTTAGGTTAGTTTTGAATGATATACTAAAATATTAAGCGTTAGTTAAACATTTTCTGCTGCTTATTTTACGTTTTATTGTATATAAAACGATTTTTCAAAGTTGGAATGACTGTTTTTTCTTTTGCTATACCCGTTTTTACCTTTTTTTCGGATTATCCGCGATTCTTGTTATCCGCGGCGGCCGCGCCGCCCAATTCCGCGGATAATCGGGAGTGTACTGTATTAGAACACGATGATATATACAGGGTGCTCGTAAACTTCCCCGATATATTAACTCCTAGTGGCCTATCCGATCAACCAATCAAAATTAAATTTCAGATATTATTATTTGAAGGTACGTGCTCGAGTTTGTGATGATTTTAAACAACAGAGTTACGGTGAAAACATTTCGAAATTTTCGAATAGCAGCACGCACCTTTTCCCTCACATATTGATCAACGCATTCGAAAAACATAAATGGCGTTGGAGCGATATATGTATGACAAAAATTGTCGGCGCAAAACATTTGCAAAGGAAAACATTCTAAAGGATGAATGATTACACAGGGAGGAGATGCTTTGACGTACTTTGCGTAATTCACAGGGAAAAATGAATCACAAAACACCATGTGCAAAACATTGGTTGCGGAAAATTTTCAATAAGCCAATGTGGGAAGATTGTTCCTTCAGACAGGTATTTGAACCTGCTAACAAGATTCTTTTTGAGAACCTACGAGGTGAATTGATAAGGCTGTTTCATCTGAATGGGAAACACGGTGCTAAAAGCAGTGCAAGTTTATCGACAAAATCACAAATGAAGATGAGTCCCATTACTCCTAAAAACTATATGTGATTTGGTAAAAAAAATCCTAAAAAATGGATGCGCATGTGATAGACCGCGATCCTGACGACCATGTCTTCCTTTTGAAGTTGTTGCGGAATTGTATAATACGATTAATGATTCATTATAATACGATTAATAATTAATGCATAATACGATACGAATACAACAAAATTATGCATACAAAAGTGTAGACGTTACTTTATAAGGTATTTCTCCCACCTTCATTGCATGCCTTCGTGGTGTGGTGGTCTGCACGCCGGATGCGTATTCCAGAGGTCCGCGGTTCAATTCCCGGCGAAGGCGTTTGCTCATTTTTCATCACTCCTGCTTTCAAAAATAACCTAATGTCTCTTTAACTTGTTAAATATTACTTAAAAATGTACTAAGCACATGGTTGCCTGAAAGCATTGTTATACGCATGTTTACCGGAGTTTGGCGCATTTTGAAAATTTGGTGGCCTCTGCTGAGGTGGTTGGCAAATACATAAGTATGAATTCTAATATCAGCGACTCAAAGTTAAAATTTTTGCAAATTATTACAAGAATGAAACATATACAAACAATTTAACAAGTTAAACGGAAGCCGCATTTCCAGAATACTAATTAAAAAAAAATGCACAATAAACAAACATAATCACGATACAAAATGCACCATACGTAAAGAAACAAACGGAAATAAACACGCAACAACACAAAAATACTCAGCTAGAAACAGACTAACGACAAGCATTTACAGAAATTGTAACAATAACATACGTTGGTGTAAATATTATTTCAGATTATTTTTAGTATCGCAGTTGTTTATTTCACTGTTAAATGCAATTGTGAAAATTTGCTTTTTGTCCCTGTTGTTCAGTTGGCCATAGGCTGCTTCTAATGAACTCATAAAAGTATTTGCAAAATAGATGAATGGATATTTATGCATATATAGTATGAATTCATACCCCAAGAGAATGAAATTTTTTTTAACAATATAAGCTTTCTTACGTTTAAAGGTTTAGTCTGCATTGACTGGTATCCTATTTAAATAATGCTTTCAAACTAGTGACGCAGTGCTTGTAATATAATTCATTAGTATATTATTATCTCTTTCGCTAATATTGTGGAATGAGTATAAAGTATTTCTCGCACATGAAAAGTAAAAAGCAGCTTTTTCACGATTCAGGAAACGTGAATGAAAATCATTAATAAAATGATAAATTATTAAAATTAAAGTATGAAGAGAAACATAAAAAATTAATAAATTTAGTTACAAAAA